CTCCTGCCAGGCACCAGCATGGCTCTGGGTATAGAGCCCCGGAAACACAAGACACTGGGTGAGCTTGCACAAATTACCGGTCAACTCTGGGCCTCAGATCTTCTTTAGAGGCCTCACAATAACCATGACTCTGCTCTTGTCCCTGTCCCCCACCCCCATGCATCAAATGGAGAGAGAGAAGGCTTTACTAAGCCATTTCTTTCCCCTTTTCCTCAAAGCATCTCTGAGCACAATCTCTGGAGCCAACAAACAAACAAAGCCTGCAACAAAGTGGCTTAGAAATGAAGACCTTCCTGTCTGCCTTCCCCCTTTCTGCTTGGCCTATGCATCCCAGGGTCTCACAGTTGTCATGGTAACCCCTCACGTGGGCCCTGGCACCCTCTCTGAGGAAGGGGGACTCCAGACTTCTCGGATGTTTTACACCCAGGCCTTGGGCTGCCTGAGCTTTCCCACTTTGTCCCTGTGCCTGGAGGGCTGAGGTGGGGTAGAGGGTGGCACTAGATGTGCCAGGAAATCAGCAGACTGGTTTATCTTTGAGATTCTTCTGCCCATGAAGAAGCAAGAGTGAGGTTTGGGACATTATCATAATTAGTGTCTAACTGCTCTGTATTAAAATAGGCTCTATTTAAGCCCCTTGGACATTTCCCAAGTCTAATCACCTTCATCTGGGCCCCCATTTCTCTCTCCAACTCACCACTGGGGAAGCTGGGTTCCAGAGGAGCTCTCTGAGCTGAGGATGGCCATCTGGGGACGCAGCTTCCCACCCTGCCTCAGATTCAGGCCAGGGCCCAACGGTCCTTGATTCCTGGGATGGTCTCTCTCCCCTGGGCACACCATCCCAGTCTTCTGAGTGTCTGGTACGTCCCAGTGACACCCTAGCTACTTGGCAGCTTCCAAGGTGAAGAAAAGGGCAGGGGAGCCTGCCTTAGACCATCTGGGCTCCAGCTGATTTCTGGGAAGGGGCTGATCAGGTTTCAACTCTTCTCTTTCATTCCAGAGAGGCTCCTATTAGGGGCTACCTCTCTTCACTCCCTCAGAAGGTGGGTCTTTGCAGCTTCTTGGGCCTGGGGCATGATCGAGGAATGAGGCAACCTGATTCTGGGCCTCATGGGTAAGGCGCAAACACCCTGTGTCTTTAGCCACTGTCCTGGGCCATCAAGGTGCCATTGTTCTCCCTAAAGGCCACCCTGCTATCTACTGAAGTCCTGCCCTGACACCTGGACTCTAGAAGATTGGGAGCTCTGATCTGTCTCTGCTGTCCCCCCACTAAGTCACCTGTCCCCCTCCCCCTCCAAGGCTCTCCTCCCTCCTCTTCTTCCTGCCGCTGTTTGATGCCAAGCACTGCCCACTTAGACCCCATCCTCATGGTGGGTCCTCCCAGCAAGCCTGCCTAATTTCTCACCTCGCTCCTGTACCAGAGACCTGACCCCTTGGCTCCTCTGTGGGGTCACCAAGGCAAGGCAGTGGCCCGCCCAGCAGACACTGGCCTGGGTTGAGACCCTCCTTATCACTGAACTCTTCCCGTCCTCTACCCAAGTCTTATAGAAAGGGCTGCGACTGAGGAATGAGGGTCAAAAGTCAAATCCCCCGCCCACCATCAACTCATCGTTGACTTTGAGACTCTCAGCCAAATTCATGGTTGACTTTGGGGCTCTCAGACCCTTTGACTCTGCATTTCCCCAACTGAGGAGAGAGGTTCTCTCCTTATCTCCAAGGTCACAAAGGGACTGCAGCTAGTGTGCTTTGCAAAGTGACAACTGCTGGGCCAAGTTAGGGACTCAGGCTCCGCCTCCCCCACCCGGCTTCCCTTCCCTTTCTCCACTCTCTCCAGCCAGCTCCAGGACAACAGATCAGGGGTTTTTGTGATTGTCACCTCTGCCTCCCAACCAAGAGGGCTTCAACATGGCAGCGGGCTGCTGGGGAAGTGCTAGGACTTCCAGGTCTGGGAAGGGCCCAGACCAGGTCAGGCATCTAGAGCAGGCAGAGCCCTGACCTTGAAAATGAGGTTGTGTCCCTGACAATCCCTCCTCCTCCCCAAGCCAGGCAGACCCGGCTTCCCTCTGCCTGTTCCCATTCCCAGCCTCCTCTCAGGCCAGGCACTGCTTCTCCTCAGCCTGCCTGGTGCCTCCTCACTCCCGAGCCACAATCAATTACCACCTCCTCAGGGAGAGCAGGCCGGCTGCCCCTCTCCAGGCTCCGGATATCTGGAGTTCTTGTATTTGGATTTTTGTCTTTTGTTATTGTCTGTTTCACCCTTTTAGAATGTAAGCTCAGCAAAGGGGGCATGAGGTGTGTGTGTGTGTGGGGGGGGGAACGACAGGGCACTCTGTGAAGAGGGAAGGTGGTTGGTCAGTTGTGTCCCTGCAACGTGATCCTCACTTTCGCATGAGGTGGCAGGGCCTTTGGGTGGGGAACCCGTGCTTTGACGATCCAAACCCTTGCTCTGATCAGGGCTGGGTCTTCAAGCTGGTCCAATCCAGGGCCTAACAGGCCTGGGAAGACAGCGCCGCTGGCGGAACCAGTTTCCCCCCAGCTTCCCATTCAACAGGCCTGCCAGGAGAGCCTACCCCCACCCCCCCCAAACACCCCCAACCACCTCGCCTTGCCAGTCACTGGGACCGACCGCAGCACGCGTCGGCCCAGCCCCTTCACACGCGCTCGGACACGCCCCTTACCAGCTCCTCGCCCCGGGGGCAGCCTGCCCAGTACCCAGGAAGCGCGGGTCCCCAGGCGGGCGCCTGAGGACCCACATCCCAGGCACCGCAACAAGTCCGCGGAGCCACTGCGGCCTTCCAGAACTCTGGGCCTGGCTGGTGTTCTCCCGTGGCGCCGGCACGACACGGGCCGGTCCCCGAGGCGCGGCAGCCTGCACCCGGCACACCCCAGTTCTGTCCCTGAGGGCAGGCCCTCCCCCGGGAAAGCCACTGCCGTTCCGGGGCCCGCTCCGGGTTTTTCTGTGCAGGCTCTTCAGGCTCGGACAACAATGGAGCAAGCTCCCGGCGCTTCCTCAGCCGCCAAGCGAGCGAGCTTTGTTCCTCCCTTCCCGCCTGCTCGGTTCCCATTAGCCAAAGGGCCGAAGCTTCTCGGCCCCACGAGCGTCTCTGCGTGAAATGCGCAGGCCTTCCAACACGTCCTGAAAGATCTGGGGGCTAGGCGCTGGGCTAGAGCCAAGTCCAGGTCTCGGAAGCGCATCCAGATGCGCGCAGCTGGCTGCCCGCCCGACCCCATCCCTGGCGCTACTCTTGCCAGAACCCCCACGGCCTGGAAGCCCGGCTCGTGCTCCCACCGGGGGATGCAGGGAGGAAGCGGAGCATCAGCTCTGCTCTGGGCCAGCCAGCCCACACGTCTGCGCTCCCCACACCTGTCTCGGAAGAGCTAGGCTCACCTCTCACCGGATGCTCCCCCTCGCGATGCTGGGTGCCCTCTGGCTGAGAACAGCCGCGGCACAGCTGAGGTCTCCATCCGCCCCCGATTTTTGACATATTAGGATTCTAGGCTTTAAAATCCGCGGAAGCTAACGGGCTCCAGTTCTGAATAAGGCTATGACCCCCCTGCCATTGTCCAGTCTCACCTCGGGCAGACAAGACCAGTGCTCTAGCCCGGTGACATCTTTAGACACGCGCACCTGGAGGTGGGCCAGCTCTGCACATCTGGGCGCAGTGACCCCTTGGAACTCGACCCAGGATCCAGAGTCCCAAGGACGGAGTAGGGGGCTACGCATCCCCTGCAGCAGGCCAGGGGAAAGGCAGGGGCGGAGTGGAGTGGGGCGGGGCGGCAGGACTCACCCAGCATCTGGCTGAAGAGCAGCTGCTCCAGGTCCCCCAGCACCGTGACCACGAGCTCGGGGTCCACCTTGAGGAAGGCTCGCTCCTCCTGGCCTTTGGCGGCAGGTACGGGCCCGGCGGCCTTCTGAGCCTTCGCCTTGCTGGAAAGCAGCTCGTCGTCCGACTTGCCATCTTCGCTCACGGCCGCCTCTGGAGCCTTGCTAAGCGGTTTGACCTCGGCGTAGGGGCCGCGCGGGATCCGGCTCGGCTTCCCCAGGCTGGGCGCAAGCGGGGCGAGCGGGGTCTTGGCGCATCCCACCGGGCTGCTCTTGGCCTGGAAGAGCGAGTGCTCCGACTTGGACAGGGTCTTGGACATGAGCGGAGTCTCGCGGCCCTTGGGCCCCACCTTGCCCAAGCCCTTGGGTGCCTTGGCCATATCGTCGCTCCACTCTGGCTCGTACAGCTGCATCTTTTTCTCGGAGTCCGTGAGGAACGAGAGGTTGGTGAGCGACTTCTGCTTGCGCAGGTTGGAGGTCGGCGGCCCGCCGGGACCACGGCCGTCCACGCTACCCGACTTGAAGACCTTCAGCTCAGCCGCGCTGGCCTTGGCCATGCCGCCACTGCCGCTGGGCGCCTTGGCGCGCTTGGGCAGCATGCCTCTGCCGTCCGCCGCGGCTGCCTTCCTGCCCGCGCCCCGAGGCTCGTCCGCGCCCTCGTCGCTGCCGCCGCCGCTCAGCTCCACCTCGGGCTGCACGCTCTTGACGCTGCTGCCCAGCATTCTGCCCGCGAGGAGCGCATGGACGATCCGCGCGTCTGCAGGC